ACCTAATTCTCAGGTTCTGTAGCCACCGCGCTCGTCCCATTAAAATCTCTTGGCCTTAACAGGTGTTGAGTCTCACTGCGTGCCACCATCTTTCACGCACACTTGATTCCTCTCATAAATACGTGTTGCTTCCCCCCCCCCGGAACTGTTGAACACATATGACTCCGCTGTGTAATACAGCCCCTGTGAAGCACAGAATCCCAACTTTCCCTTTCCCACTTTGGGGAGAGAGCACCTTCAGTACATGTCACACACTCTCTCTTCCTGGTTTGCAAACTGACAGTGCCAGTCAAGCTCTCCTTCCTCCTATTTAGACATCCTGGTGGTCTTTTGGATGATGCCCCTGAAGCTTGATGAGAAAGCAAGGGAAGAGTGCAGGGTGACTCTCCAGAGCTTGTGGACTGGCAAGCTGACTTCCAGCCCACAGTGCTTAGTTAGGAGCTGGAGTGCCAAAGGAAGCTTGTCATAGGGTGGCCTAACCTGTAAGGAAGCTCTCTGCACAAGGCTCTTAAGGGTACGGCTCTAAGTGGGGCTTCTGCCATAATCTCCAAGCCAATGTTACAAAACAAACCGTACAGCTAGTAATCCACTCATTTTTGCTTCCAAACAAGTTGGGTGAAAGACTACTCACTCCAGATGTATGCCTGACAACCTCCAATCTGAACCAAAGTCAACTATATTGACTTCAGCCTTGCAAGGTTCTGAGGAGAGTCCCAAACCCAAGTCTGTCCTTAAAAAAAAAAAAAAAACTTTCAGGAAGTGGCTGTTCATTCACACAGTCAATAAATGTTTACTGTGCCTCTACTGCATGCCAAGCACCATGCCAGGCAATGGCACCTAGAGGTGACAAGGCTTGGCTCCATAACCTCAAGGGCTATTTACGAAGGTCAAGTGCTGAGACCAAGAGTCCACTGAATAAGCACCTCTATCTTAGTCTAGACTCTAACCCAAGGGTTCATGATATGCTTCCCTAAGAAAGTGACATGAAAGCCGGGCTCGGTGGCTCAGCCTGTCATCCCGCGCCTTTGGGAGGCTGAGGTGAGTGGATGGCCTGAGCCCGCGGGTTCGAGACCCGCCTGGGCAGCGAGACCTCATCTCTACAATAAATCAAAAAATTGGCCAGGTGTGGTAGCACGCGCCTGTAGTTCCAGCTACTTGGAAGGCTGAGGCAGAAGGATCGCCAGAGCCCAGCAGGTCGAGGCTGCGGCGGCCGGGAGTGGCCCCGGCCCTCCAGCCTGGGCGACGGAGCGAGACTCCGACTCAAAAAAAAAAAAGCAAGTGACATGAAGGATGACCAAAAGCCAGGCAGACAGGTCAGAGAAAGTCACTGCAGACAGCAGAGGCAGACAGGGGATACCTAGGGATAAGAGTGAGCTGATGGTCTAAGAGGCTACTGTGCTCTATCTTAGTATACAAAGCTGGCCCACTTGTGTCAGAAGGGCCGGCACCCAGAGAGCAACTGGGAGCACAAGACTGGCCTAGAGGATGAGACAAGACTAAGAAATCTTGCACAGCAGGCCCTGCCCTGTTTCCACTCTCACTCTCAGGGCTTGAGGCCCAGTTTGCCAGGAGCAGCAGCAGCTGGTAGGGTGGCAGGAGGCATAGGGCTATGCTTTCTTCTTGGTGGTCCACTTCTGCTCTCTGGGAGCTGGTGCACTCAGGACACAGAGCTCACCCTCAGCCACTACAACAGAAACATGCTTTCTAGGGGCCGTCTTACCAAGCCACTGCCCTCACTAATACAGTGTCATCAAATTCCTAATGCAGGAGCTCGAAAACAAATGTACTGTCACCAGCATATCACCAGGCACATTCTTCAGAAGAAAAACCGCTGCTCACTGCATATGTCACTTCTTCCTCTTCTCAGGTTCATGCACAGAGCAAGAGCCTGCTGATGGCTGTTTTCCCTCACACTCCCTTCAAGCACACTCAAGATGCAGCATCAAGCTTCTCTGTGGAACTCAGCACGTCAGCCACAGCACAGTCCTTGAGAAGCTTCCTGATCATAGGGTAGCCTCGACAACTAGCTGTGCTCGGAACCTGAAGGTGCAGATATCAGCTTCTAGTTCACTAGTTTAGTTCCCTCTTATAGACCAGGAAGGACAATGAAAAGGTTAGCAAAAGTCCCAGAGTAACACAGCTAGTTAGTTGTAGAACCACAGGTCAGTGGCTTTCTCAGCTAATTTCTTCATCATTAAGAAAAATAAGGATACCAGGCCATTGCTAGATCACTGTGGACACTGTGTTGGTAAACTGTGGTGTGGCCATGTGCTCTTTGAGCTATGGCCAGGCCATGTTTCCTGTTTCCTGGCTTTGGCCCTCTCCCCTACCTTGGGGAGGTGAATCACCTCTTCCTCTCTCTAATTTACTTTCTAAATAAACTTTATTTTCTACTCTAAAAAGAAAAAGGATACCATCCACTATGCCATAGGTTGTGAGGTCTAAATGTGCACCAGTGTCGAAACGGGGCAGGTTTCCCGGAACGGTGACGGAAACATCCTATGTCCTAGGTCTCTAGGCACCTCCCCACCCCAATTCCCTCTCTCAGGACTCACTCTGCTGAATTTACACTGGGGAAAGGAAAAACCAGGAATAGGTTTAACATATTTAGAGCCAATGTTTGGTCAAAATCTGAGTTAAGTTAAACCCAAGTCTCTACTAGTTCTCAGGTCTCTAGGCCATGGATTTTTGCATTGTCAATTTCTCTCTTGTTTGGTCCAGACTTTGTTATCTCTGGACAGCTGATGTAATCAGAGAAGACATCACTAGAGGTAACCACTGAAAACAGGTCACAGCACCTTTCCTTTAGTCACTCCAAGTAGGGAGCGATTAAGCCAAGACAATTTAAGAAGAGATAGATGGAATTCTCACTTTTATCGACAAGGCTGAGGAATACAAAAGACCCTGCAGACGCCTATATTAATGCCACCAATCACTGATGCAAAAAATCCCCAAACCAGGGACAAACGTTGCTTCTGAGAAGACAACTGTATCAGTCAGACAGTCAGCTCAAGCTCTCCTCCTCTCTCACATACCCTAGCTCCTCACCCCCCCTCCCCACTCCCCACACTTTAAAATAACCATCCAACCATGTAAATTCCCTGGTGCAAGTGTCTGCTAGCCTCCAGCAGAACTGTCAACGCTCATAAATCCCTACCCTTCCAGATTGCACTGCGGCTATTTATTGGAGGGAGGGACACAGCAGGCCACTAGACAATAGCAGGAAGAGATTGGCCTAGCAGTAACTACTCTGTTACAGCGCTGCAATTCACAGCAGCATTTTGCTGGGAGTGTGCACTATCAGGGAGGAGAAGCATAAAAAGGGGAATCTGGGCCATAAATAGTTTATTTCGGCAATTCCTGATGTTGGCTGAATCATACTTTAGTAGAGAAATACATGAAAGCACCACTCCGGGGGTGACATGTGTTGCCACCTCATTACTCTTTTCAAAAGGGTCTTCCATCAGAGAGACACCTTGCTACACATTACAGTGAAGAAAACAAAGCCCTCACACACAGACTTATTAACAGTCCAAAAGGAAACAGAAGCATCAGGAACCAAACAAGTAGAGAACCAGGGCAACAAGGGCCATCAGTGACCTGGAGTCTCCAGGTTGCTTTTTCATATGTGAAAAATCAAAGGACAGAAGAGAAAAAGGTAGCACTTTCTCTCTAGTCCCCAAATGCATGTCAGAGTTTTTCAAAGTGGATCTCATTTCCCTATTTCTCCAAATGCACCTAAATTAGGCTCACTTCTCCAGTGAACCCTACCTTCGTGTTCCTTTTCAGTGGTTCCCACTTTCTTGATCTTCCTGGGAGATTTCATAAAGAGGGGAAAGATGGTTCGTAAGCCAAGAATGTCAACAAACTTATGGCAGTTGTCTGTGCCCTCAGGTCCAATCATGGCATGGTCCAGTACTTTCAGCGCACTACTCCGGGAGATCTTCTTTTCTCTGTAACACAAGAAGCTTCACATAAGCATTTCATAAGGAAATTCTAGTATTAAAAAAAAATATTATACACCAGGCACAGTAGCTCACGCCTATAATAGCAACACTTTGGGAAGCCAAGGCGAGAAGATTGCTTGAACCCAGGGGTTTGAGACCAGCCTGGGCAACTTGGTGAACCCTTGTCTCTACAATAAATAAAAAAATTAGCTGGGCATGGTAGCACACACCTGTAGTTCCAGCTACTTGGAAGACTGAGGCAGAAGAATCGTCTGAGCCCAGTAAGTCAATGTTGTGGCAGCCGTGAGAGTGCCGCTGCACTCCAGCCTGGGCAACAGAATAAGATTCCAACTCAAAAAAAAAAAAAAAAGTAATAATAATAATAATAATAAGTATTTACTGTAGTACTCATTATAATGGGAAAAAAGAAAAAAATAAATAAAAACAAAACAAATGTCCACAAGTGAGAAAATGGTTACATTATGGTATAGCTAAGTAGAATACTGCAGGCTTGTTGACAATTAGGAGAGTGTGTAATAGAATGAACAAATTCTTATGATCAGAATGGCAAACGCAAAAGGTAGCATTCAAAATTCTTTATGAAGCATGATCATAATTACATGAGAAGTATGCATTAAGACTGGAAAGAAATAGATCAAATTGCTGAAATATTTCAGGATGGTGGGATTATCAATTATTTTTTTTTCTTTTTAACTGCTTTATCAAGATACAATTCACATACCATATAATTCACACATTTAAGATGTACAGTTCAATGTGTTTACTATATTCACTGATACGTTAGCCACCACCTCAATTATAGAACATTCTCATTATCCTAAGAAGAAACAACATACCCTTTAGCTATTATTTCCTTCCCAATCCTCTCTATCTCTAAGCAACCACTGAGCTACATTCTGCCTTACAGATCTGCCTACTCTAGACATTTCATGTAAATGATATCATGTGGTCTCTTGCGACTGGCTCCTTTCACTTGACATAATGTTTTTAACGTTCATCCATGTTGTAGCATATGTTAGTACTTTGTTCTTTTATATGGCTGGATAATATATGTCACAATTAGTCTATCCAATTGTTTGCTGATTGACATTTGGGCTATTTCCACCTTTTGGCTATTATGAATAATGCTACTCTAAACATTTGTATACAAGTTTTTGTGTGGACATATTTTCATATCTCTTAGGTATATGCATAACTATGACATAGTGAAATCTGGGGCAATGGTAACTCTATCTTTAACTGTTTGAGGAATTGCCAGACTGTTTTCCAAAGCATTATAAGGGTGCCGATTTTTCCACATCCCTGCCAACATTTATCATGTGTCTTTTTTGATTCTAGTCATTCTAGTGAGTGTGAAGTGGTATTTCATTGTGGCCTCGATTTGTATTTTTCTGATAACTAATGATGCCAAGCATCGTTTCATATGCATATTGGTCATTTGTATACCTTTTTTGGAGAATGTCTATTCAGAGTCTTGCCCATTTTTAAGTTGGGTTAATTATCTTTATTGAGTTGTAAGAGTTATTTATTCTGAATACAAGTTGCTTAACTGATATATGATTTGCAAACATTTCCTCCCATTCTGGGGACTATCTTTTTGCTTTCTTTGTTTTTGCTTTTTTTTTTTTTTAGTTGGAATCTCACTCCGTCACCCAGGCTGGAGTGCAGTGACACATTCACAGCCACCCCAGCGTCAACCTACTGGCCTCCGGTGATCCTTCCACCCCAGGCTTCCAAGTAGCTAGAATTATAGGCGCATACTACCACACCTAGCTATTTTTTTTTTTTAATTGTAGAGACAAGGTCTCACCATGTTGTCCAGGCTGGTCTTGAACCTGCGGGCTCAGGCAGTCCTCTAGCCTCAGCCTCCCAAAGTGCTGGGATTACAGGCTTAAGCCACAGTGCCCGGCTGCTTTCCTGATAGTATCCTTTGAAGCACAAAATTTTTTAATTTTAATGAAGTCCCATTTATCTATTTTTTTCTTTTGTTGTTCATGCTTTTAGCGTCATATCTAGGAAACCATCACCAAATCCAATGTCGTGAAGATTTATTCCTGTGTTTTCTTCTAAGAATTCAATAGTTTAGCTCTTACATCTAGGCCTTTGATCCACTTTGAGTTAATTTTTGTATGTGATGCTATTTAAAGGTCTAACTTCTTTTGCATACAGATATCCAGTTGTCCCAGCATCATTTGTTGAACAGACTACTCTTTCCCCATGTGGTCCTGGCACTCTTGCTGAAAATTAGCTGACCACAGACACTTGGTTTTATTTCTAAATAATCAATATACTGCATTGATTTATATGTCTAATCTTACACCAGCATAGTCACTGTCTTAGTTATTACTACTGCGTTGTAGTAAGTTTTGAAATCAGGAGTCCTTCTAATTTATTTTCTTTCAAGATTGTTTGGCTAGTCTGTATCCCTTCCAATTCCACATGAATTCTAAAATTACCTCACCAATTTCTAAAATGGAGTCTGCTGGGACTCTGAGAGGAATTTTGTTGAATCTGTAGTTCACTTTGGGGAGTACTGGGCATCTTAACAATATTAAAACTTCTGATTCATGAACATAAGTTTTTTTTCCCCATTTATTTAGATCTCTAATTTCTCTCAGCAATGTTTTTGTAGTTTTCAGGATATAAAATTCATACTTCTCTTGTTAAATTTATATAATAGATATTTTATTATTGATGCTATAATAAATGGAATTGTTTCCTTAGCTTCATATTTTTGGACTGATCATTGCAAGTGCATAGAAACACAACTGAGTTTTATATATTGATCTTATATGCTGCAACCTCGCTAAACTTATTTATTAGTTCTAATAATTGTTTAGTGGATTCCTTAGGACTTTCTACATGTAAGATCATGTTATCTGCATATAAAGATAGTTTTACTTCTTCCTGTCTAATCTGGATGCCCTGATTTCATTTTATTGCCTAGCTGCCCTAGCTAGAACTTCCAGTACAATGCCCAGTGGAAGTGATGAGGGTGTCTTCTTGCTGATTTCAGGGAAAGCATCCAGTCTCTCATCACTGACTATGACTTCAGCTGTGGGTTTTTTGTAGATGCTCTTTACCAATGGTTGAAGAAGTTCCTTTATTTTTTTTGAGGTAGGTTCTCACTCTGTTGCCCAGTTTGGAGTGCAGTGGAATCATGGCTTACCACAGCCTTGACCTCTTGGGTTCAGATGATCCCTTCAATGCAGTCTCCTGAATGACTGGGACTATAAACGCACGCCACTATGCCTGGCTAATTATTTTTTGCAGAGACGAGATCTTGTTATGTTGCGTAGGTTGGTCTCAAACTCCTAGATTCAAGCAATCCTCTCACCTTGACCTCCCAAAGTGCTGGGATTACTGGCATGAGCCACCATGCCACCCAGCCTGAAGAAGTTCCTTCTATTCCTAGTTGGAGTATGGTCATCAAAGGGTGTTAAGATTTTGTCAAATGCTTTTTCTGCATCTTATTATTTCTTTTTCTACTTTTCAGTATCTTTTATTTCCTCATAATGAACATGTAGTACATTTTAAAATTAGAAAGGATAAACTATTTTTCAAGAAAAAAAAAAATTGTTTTCTCCCTAAAAGTCAAAGTCAAAGTTCACAGTATAATCTTGCCAATGGTTACTTCTTCAGGGAGTATAATTTTCTGTAGTCTTAAATTGTTTTAACACTCTGTGAGGTAAAGAGGAACAAGTCAGTAATTTCCTATCTTGGTACAGATAGGAAATCAACCAACCAAGTCAATACATAATATTTACTGAGCACATACTCAGCATTGTGGTAGACACAAGAGAAAAAAAAAAGTAAGATATGGTTTCTGCTTCCAAAAATTTTTAAATCTACTTAGGGAGACCAATTAATACAAAATGATCAGGGAAAAGCGTAAGTCAGAATATAATTTTTCCATGTATTATTCAATTGACAGATATTTACTGGATATTCCTCCCTATGAAAGATCAGGTCCCAGTTCTCAAGCTGCTTACATTCTGACTGCAGGGGGTAAAGAGAAATCGAGATACATGATAGTGCTGTATCAAGGAAATAAAACAAAGTGACGTGAAAGAATGACTGGCATGGATATTTTAGGTTAGGTATGAAGGAAAGCCTTTCTTTTTTTTCTGAGTCAGAGTCTCACTCTGTCACCCAGGCTGGAGTGCAGTGGCATGCTCATGGCTACCACAGCCTGCTGGGCTCAGGTGATCCTTCTACCTCAGCCTTTCAAGTAGCTGGAACCAAAGGAGTGTGTCACACGTCCAGCTGATTTTTTAATTTACTGTAGAGATGAAGTCTCACCATGTTACTCAGGCTGGTCTTGAACCCTTGAGCTCAGGCAATCCTCTCATCTCTACCTTCCAAAGTGCTAGGATGATAGGTGTGAGCCATAGTGCCCAGCCAGGAAGGTCTTTGTAAGGGGAAACATTTGTAGAGACACTCAAGTCATGTACATTTTAGGGGCAAAACATTCAAAACAGAAGGAACAGCATGCACCAAGGCCCTAAGACAGAAGTGAGCTGCCAGGGTTGAAGAAGAGACAAAAGCCTAGTCTATTTGAAGCATACCAAGACACTAGATATTAAGTCTAAGAAGCAGAGTGTTCCTACCTTAGATCGGAGAGGGAAATATGACTGTCTCAAAGGCCATGCCACTAGTCTTGTAGGCCACAATAAGTCATCCAAGTTAAGAACTGATTCTAGAAGAAGATGCTACTTAAAATAAACATCTGAATATTAAGTGACAAAAGAATAAATTAAGTACAGTGGGCACACAAGGAAAAGAATAATTTATTCAGAGGAAGGAGAAAGTTTCTCAAGAGATTCCAGTCCATCAAAAAAGCAAAGTGGGGGAAAAAAAAAAGAAAACATCACCAGATTCCACTATCAGGAAGCCACTGGCAAGCTTCCATAAAGCAGTGGTAGCGCAGAAGTGGGTTGAAAATGAAAGGAGGTGAGAAAGTAAGAGAGGTGAGTGTGAACTAC